CATTGCCAAAGAAAGTAGGTCTGAACCTAAAAGGAGACTCCTTTACTATAATTACTCCTCTATTGCACGATGAAGAATGAGTCGCCGTAGAAGAAGCCATGCTTATCCCTGTAATCGGTGCTTTCGCCGCCATTTCTATCTTCTTTGTTTATTCGGGGCTCCGCTGCGTCTATGGAGCAAGTTTCGATTTTTATTTTTTTTTTCCCGTTTGTTTGTGGTTTTGACCGTTTTGTGGGTGCGGGACGATCATACTATTTTCTTTTCTTCTTCTTTATTTTATTTCCATTAGGAAGTTGTTATTAATTTATTTTAGATTTGTTATATGATCATTTTTAATCATATATTTACACAGTAAAATCTTTTATATGAATACAAAAAAAATTTCAATATTTTTCAATCACAAATTTTTCAAAAAAATCACTATTCAAGACTCTTTTTAATACGATAATGATTGTCAAACATGCTCAAAATAACATGGAATTATATTTTTATGTTATTAGTAAAAATTAAAGGATTGTTTGGCAAAGTGTTTGATAAAAGTTGATGGAATTATGATTGAAAAGTAATAAAAAATTGTGATATATGAAATATGTAATTAAAATTAATTGTTGACTTTGACCTCAATTTTTAAATTTTTCTAAATAAACACTGAGTCCCTATTTGACTCACTTTATTTCAAAACTCTTTATTTCTTATACTCATTTTCAAATATACATTCACGTAATAAAATATTTTGTACATAAATCCAAAAAACTTCTCTATTTTTTAACCAAAAAAAAAACTATTCAAGGCATTATTTTTTCAAAATAATGACCATCAAATAGGGTCTAAAATATGTTGCGCGTAAATCCAAAATTTTTTCATATTTTTTAACAATACATTCTCTAAAAAATCACAATTCAAAACATCATTTTCTCTTTATAATAGCCATCGAACAGGGAAAAAGAAAAAATAACTATTCACTAGCATGTGTGAATGAGTTGATCAAAAAAATAAGCATTCATTCAACGCTAAGCGTATGATTGATGGTTATTATTTTGAAAAAATAAAATTTTGAGTAGTGATTTTTTGAAAAATGTGTGATTAAAAATAAATACGAGAATTAAAGAGTTTCGTTTTATTTCGAGGGAAACAAATAGAGGAGGCTTAAATGATTTATAAAGAAGAATAGTAGTTGATTTCACAAATGTGTGAAAAATAATTAATGGTTACGATTGCGTAATTGAAGTTAATGTTTGATTTGATTGAATTTATAACTCATTTGTAAACATATATCCAAACAGGCCCTAAAACTACAATAAAACTATGTCGCAACAGTAGATACTTAGCATTAAAGTTGAACTTTAAATTTTTTTATCCTGCGATGAGATGAATACAAACAAGCTACAATAAATAATTGCAGTAATAACATCATCCTCCATAATATTGTTAAATGCTAGAGAGATGAGCACCACTTATTGAGGTCAACGATGAGTGTCATTCTTGAATCTAATCGAGTTGGTCCTTCTTTAAAAACGAACTATATTTCCTATTCTCAATTGGTCACGATGAGCCAAAAAACTAACCCGTGCATTTGTTCACCGGAGAAGTTGGTTGAGCCATTTTAGCAAATGTAATCATGTTTGAGAAAAAGTAACCCTCTTATACGATGGAATCCTACTCAGAGCTTGTTTGGGAGGGATTAAAATTGAAAATATAGTCGTTAGAGTTGACTTTTATTAGACGAGTGAGACCCAATAACGGCTATATTTTCAATTTTAATTGGATTTTAATCCTTGCCAAACAAGCTCTCAATGTGTGTGTTAAAATTTGGAACCATGCTACAGTGTCCGTGTGGTTGACCGCGAGAATGACCGCACACACAGGAGGGGGTCAGATTATTTTATTCGGGGGTGGGACCCGCACCGACGCTGTGAGTGTGCGATCATCCCCGTGGTCACCGGCGCGGGTCGTTTAGCATTATACTAAAATCTGTTCCACCCAACTTACTAGCCAAACTTGTGAAAAATAATTAATAGCTACGATCGATAAATTTCAAAGGGCTTCATATTTATATTTTTCTCTCGTTGCTGAGAGTTTCTCTCTCCTCTCTACGGTCTCCCTTGGTAGAGGTTTTTTTTCCTGTCTTAAGGCAGGTTCTCGTCTCCTTTTCTTCTGGTTCTCTTCTAAGGCCGTAGTGGCTGATTTATGAGCCCGTTTGGTATGGATTTTTTGGGGAAGAATTGATTTTAAATAGTGATATGATGGGAAATGTGTGGTTGAAAAAGAAGAAAAAATTATTGATGTGATGGAAAATATTATTTTATTGAAAAATGTGTGATTGAAAATGAGAATTAATTTACTATAGAAAAAT